GCCAGGATATATGCTGGTTTCAGTGGCAGCTCTATGGGCTCTAAAAGCATCAAAAGCAGCAAAATTTCAATATGGTCTTATTGGCAGGAAAATTTCAAACTGACTAACTTTGCCTCTCTGATTACTGATGCATCTGATGTAGAGGATCTGAGTATGAATTACATCTGTACTGGGCTTGTTTTTGTATCACACCAGCCTGGCCTGAATTTGGGGACCAAGCTGTTTGACTTTTGATCTGAATCTCTCAAATGTTAGCAGGTTAACATTGCCAAGATTCACAAATTCTCTCGATTTACTAAACCTAACTAGGACTCTTATGTCTTCTGTAGCTTTAAACAAGACAGCGAGCGTACAAAATGCATTGTGGCCACTTCTTTCACCATTGCTAGCATCCCTTGTGCACTCTGCTTTCTGATTTAGAAGGGAACTGGCCTATTATGATATTATTAACGGAGTGAGTAAAAAAATAAAGAATGCCATAATAGAAAAACATTCACCCATTTATTTACAATGTATAAGTCTTCTGAATCCATCATTTACTTCTTTTCAGTCTGTAAGCAAGGATGGAACAGACATGTGCACACAAAGAACCCTTCTGGTAAAAGTTTTGAAAGAAGAAAATAAAAATGACAAAATTCATTCTCTAGTTCCACACTGTACACCAAGGCATTTCCTGCACCTTACACCAAGGCTCAAGAAAAGGAGAATGGAAGTAGTGGGGCATCTACAGGAAACAGTCTTTCTGCCCTACTCTGCCAAATGCCTTTTCCACTGCTGATTTTCCTAGCCCCTTTGGGAAACACAGAGCATAATCTGAGTCACCCAGTCAGCAGCACTTCTTTCATTAGTGCTTACTTTCCAGTGAAAACATGTTTGTGAACTACCATAGAGTATAGCATAGCTGTCATGGTCAGCAGTGTTGCTTTTTCATTTCATAACATGTGCTGAGACAGGTCAGGTAGTAGCAATTCTACATAAAAAAAAAAAAAAACCTGCACGCCATGCCCTTTTTTCAGTAAACATGCTTCAATTAATATTTCATTAAGGAAACAGTAATGTTAAGCTGTTATTCTGTTTAACCTTGTGTTTCTTCCCGCTAAAAAAGAGGACATGTCTGTAAGTGCAACTACTGTGTGAGGTAGCTAAAGACACAGGATATAAGCACACAGGTAATTTCTAGGCTGCCACTTGGCCTTTCGAAGTTGTGCTGACATTTTTCTGAACCCACGTAGCAATAGGTATGTAGCTTCATCTCCCAACCTCCTCAAAACAAGAAATATTACTTCATCTATGTCTTCCTATATGTTATACCCCTGTTAATGCATTCATTTACAAAATCTTCCTCGACTGGTAGGATCTTCTGATCAGCTTGGACGTGATCTCTCACTTTTGTCATAAGACAGCACCAGACCAATGAAGTAGCTGTCAAAGTGCCTTATTTCATGAGCTGACTTTTAAAAAGCTTTCCTCTTGTCACCACTACCATAAATTCCATCAGGTCTTATTTTCTGTATAAGAAGAGTTTCTATTTTTATAATGACCAGGAAGTCAATTATCAAAAAGCTGTTTGACTTTGGCAATGTATGGAAAAATGTCATCATCAGATAACAAGTGACAAACAGAATACATAAAATATGACTTTCAGAGTGTAGAACTTCATATCTGTTTTTGTGGTTACTACTAGTTACTCTAAATTACCATTTTGATGCTGAAAGTTTCAGTAGTCTCTTTCTGCTAAACTGTTATAGCTCCGGACGTCACTTTCTCAGCACTTTTTTCATAGATTACAGAATTATTTTTAGAGCATATACACAGCCAGCAACCATACCGCTCCTCATATATTTTTGTTATACTGTCAGTACAGCTGTTCTTATCAAAATTAAACCAGAATTTATGAATGACTATAACCATGGTTACCAATCACAAGCAGATTGTGTTGCTGTACTACAGCTCAACAAAATTAAAGAAAATCAACTAGCATCCAGTTTGCATAGAGCATTAACAACATTTCAGTATTCGCTTGCTTTGTGGCAGTTTACCATCTGCTCTGACCAGGTGGCATTTGTATAAACCAGATAATGCTGTTGTCAGCACCTGTACTACACTTCCTGGACTTTGCTTCATATGATCATTTCCAAAGCTTGCTGTCTTAAGACCACTCTTCTGAACACAATATGTAATTGCTGCAAGATTACCATTCCCAATAAAGTAACTGTGTCTCTTACCTTCAGGAGAGATTTAGGAGACTGCATGTAAAATATAAAGGAAATGAAGCACTAAGTAGTATTATATCAAGAAAATGGATTTTCTATTGGGAAAGAAGTTAAAAGAAAAAACTTGTGAAGAAAAGATTCAGCATACAGATGGTGCAAAGGCAGACAGATTTCAATAAGGGTAACCATAAAAATTTCAATATGGTTTTGTAATCTGTAATGTTCTTGCCTGAAGTGGTGTACAGGCATTAGCATGCATTCAAATTAATACATGAGGATACAAAGACACAGTTTGATTTGAGTTTTAAAGACACAGAAAATTCTGTAATATATCCCAGGAAAAAATGTTTATCAGCACAGATAACATCAAACATCTTGAAAGTTCATATGACAAAGTAAACATCAATGACCTAAACCAGAACAGCAGGGATATCCATGGGGAAGGACACAGTCATGTTTCAGAACTATCTTGGTGAGACTTTTGAGAACTGGTATCTAAACCTCTGACAGAGGTAGGTAATACCTGAATACTGGCTGTTTAAAAGAAGTTAGGGAGACTTTGTTAATGACTGTTTTTCCTATTCAGAGGTCTGGAAACTGGAAATGTATTTCAGTAGGGATCAAGACAAACTGGATTCAGGGGCTAGGCTTCCACAGGGCTCAGAGATGCTACTGTATGTCAGTAGGTAAACACAGTGGTTGGAAAGACACTCCATAATTCAGGAAAGGGTTTTTAAGAGGATACTACAGTGCACCTGCAAATGAGAAGCACATCTGAGGTCCATAATGACCGAGGAAAGGACAACTTCAATGCTTACTATGACCTCCCTCAAAAAGCTGAACAGCCACCATTCTAGCCGGAAAGGAGGAACCAGGATTAACTACATTACTGGCTGATCAAAGCCAGGGAAAAGCAGCCCCCTCTTCAGTATACCCAGTTACACAGGCTATATAATAGAGGTTTTAAATATATAAAAAAAATGCAACATTTAAGTACAAACCATTGTGTAAACATCCCACCCCAGTAAGAAAGTGGCATTTTTGCTTCACTTTGTATTTCTTAAAAGCAAAGTTAAAAAAAAAAAAAAAAGTCTTTTACCCCTGAAATAAGTGTCAATTCAGTAAATTCAGAATAAGAGCTGACATTTAGTGTTAGGAGAAAGGCAATTTAATCCCAAAGAACACTGAATCAAATACAATATGAATATAACACCATACTGAAGCCAAATTGCTTATGAATTTGAGCTTCGAAATTGGATGCTTGGCTGTGTAAGAAAGCCTAGGCTCCAAGTGCATGTTTTCTTGGAGTTTCATCACTGATTACTTGTCAGGCACATCTGGAATCCCTGCTATCTAGTACAGGGTGAACTTATGCTACTGCGTTCAGACAATACAACAGTCCTTCCTTTGCATATCTGTTTATTTTCACCAAACTTGTAGAATTTTATAATCTTTGAGCCTGTCAAACATAGTTCGCTATGGCCTACTGTGTTCAAAAGAGGTTTTGTTTGTTTGTTGTTTTCTGAGGGGATGGCGGGGGGAGGGGGGAAAGAGAGAGACAGAGTAAGACATAGAGTAAGATGCAAAATCATAGAGGAAGATGTAGACACTTTTTCTCAGTAAACCAGACTAAAATCAGCACCATAAGAATTCTCTTTATATGCATGGAGCTGTGAATTTAATTGTAAAAGCTTTATGGACTATGATGAAATTCAAAGCATTTTTGAACAGAAATATTTGAAATTTCTAATAAAAATGTTCTGATAAACACTGAAACAAAGGAAATTTTGCTGCATTTTTTTCTGTTTTGCCTCTAGTTCATTTATAATGTGCATATGGGGCTATGCAGTTCTATAATAGGACAATAATCACAAGTACAATAGACTATTATAGGAGGCTTCTCAGAAAAAAAATACAACATAATAAGACTATCAGAATAAAATCTTGTATTTTAGAATTACTATCTTCAAAGTAAAATACAAGATATTTCAACTCGTATGTTGCACTTCAATGGTCAGTAATAGTAATGTATAATAACTATTTATGGGATGATGACCAAAATGGAAACACAGCTTGACCTCTAAAGAACAAAATGCTTCATCACTAAAAAATAGGAATTTTGAAATAGTATGAGAAGAATCATGTATGACATCACATCATCTTACAAGGCCACTGGAAATTATTGCTTTCACATATTGAACAAATCTGCTGCTTGTAGAGTCACAAATATGCTCAGGTTTCTGACTTGCAGGCTGAGTAAAACAGGAACAGATCCTTTCTGTAGTTTGCCTTTCATACTGCTAAATACCCTAATCAAACTTTACCTAATTAAGTATCTTTTCAGGCCAAAACTGTCAGAGAAAAGTCTTGACTCCACTGTAACCAAGAGGAATAGTTGTACTGAAGATTAATCAGTGCTTAATTGATTCTTGCCTGGATTCTACAATAGGCGGCTCACTGTTGGAAAGAATAGTGCTCCCCACCAATCTTCCATTTTCTGACAGGAAGCCAGACTTTCACTTCTGTAAGAGGCTCACTAAACATGTACATCAGCTAAGGCATCATGTCCGTAGTCTCAATGTAATATTTTATGAAAAACTGTCTGTTTTCAAAGGGAACACTACTAACCTTGATACGCCCAGCACTCAGCTGTGGAGGCAAAGACCTAGATGCCGCTGTCACTCTGGCTCTTGCCTGTGCCAAGTTACCTGTTTAAAGAGAAAGAAACGCACACTGCAAAAACTGCTTAAAAGGCGCAGCAGGGAAAAATCTATCTAGTGGGAAATCAGCTTCCGTAACCCTAGTAAAAACAGTGACACCACCACACTTTTTCCACACCCCGCTCATTACCCGTTGTGCCTGCAGGAGCATTCAGCCCTGGCATGACAGAGTGCTGTGTTGATTTAAAAGGGAGGAGAAAGTCAGCAATAAGGTGGCATGTCACTGACCTTAGCTACTGAGCTGACGAAAACGAGGGCAGCACAAAAGCTTACAGCTCAATCAGGAGCAATCAATTTCTCTGTGACTTGCTCAGATTTAAAAGAGAAAAAAAAAAGACAGCAGCAAGACTCTTGTTTCTATGAAACTGTGTGGCTCCTGAAGTGTTTAGACAGCCTCTTAAGTTCACAAACTAATGAAAGAGATGAGAAAATGATGAGACTGTATCTTTTTTGACCTTTTGACACATGTCTGCCTAATTCCAGGTCTGCTTGTCCCTTGGGGTTTTTAAAGACTGACTCAGAAAGAGAGTGAAAAGGGATTTTTTTTGTTTTTTTTTTTGTTTGTTTTTTGTTTTTGTTTTTGTTTTCTTGAAAGGCATCATTGCCTTTTTTAATATACAGTATGATGCATCCTAAACTTCTGCCTTGTTTCCAGGAAGGCAAAGTCATCATAAAACAGCTTTTCAAAATAAAGGCTCACAGAATGGGGAGGAAGTGATACAGGCCTGTGCATATGCAAGACACTCTGTATATTTCAAAGTTTTAGCAAGTCTAGCACAAGATGTCCAAATGTTTTCTCTGGCTATATCTTCAGAGGCTAAACTGTGATTAATAGCATTGAAAGAACCCTTTGAAGCAGGATTGGTGACATCAAAGCCCTAATCCATGGGTGGCAGGATTTTTATAATGAGTGGGAAGCATTTTAACACATTTCAAAGGATTTACAGCATGAATAAACAATAGGCCTCTGCAGATGTACCACACACCTTTCAGAACCAGAACACATAAATAAGTGTCCATTTTAATTTAAATGTAAATAAAGTGTTAACACTTCTTTCAGATGCTAAGTTCCTTGTTTGCATCAACTCCAGTGTTTAGCTATTTGCTTTAGAGAAAGCAAGTAACTCAAACAGTTCTCAGAGTTTTGCAAAATTATATATTGCATAACTGGTAAGGAGGCAGGATAGGAAAAACAAAAACTGGTAATTATAAGGGAACAGAGCAAACAGGCTCCATGTAAGGCTGAAAGGAACTTTTGTTCGTACTTCCCTCCTAACAAGAAAAATACCAATCTCCGGCAAACAGTCAGGGGGCTGGCACTCAGAAACACGGTGATGACATTTTTTGGAGCAATTCAGACATTCTGTACTTCTCTTTTAAACTGCTGGGATTAGGTTTGACAGAATGCTGCAAAACGAGTACATCATTTCCAAACTAGGGTATGTTACCTCACAGTCCAAATCTCAGTGCAGAACACAAGGTATGTCCATGTTCTTGGAGACTACTTTAGTATACAGGGTTTAGGTAAATGAAAACTGCAACGCTGTTTTGAAAATCTAGTATGAATTATAAATACATAAACATTATACATACACTTATAAATATTTTAGATATTTTATGTATATATTTATATATACTATTTTTTATATATCATTTATACATTTATATTTTGTATGCATGCATGCATATATCTAAAGATAAAACGGGTCTTTCAACATGCACATTGTTGGTGAATTTATTTTTTATCTGTGCCTTTTTACAGGTAAAATAGGGCTGAGAAGTGGTGAGGTTGTTTTTGGCTAGTCTTCAGATTAGCAATTCAAGTCTTCTTTAGGCTTGGAAGCCTTGCATTGGAGAACTGGCGGCATAATACAGAGCTAAATGGGAGTTTAGTAGAGAAATAAATTTGAATCAGATTATTTAAAAATAATAACTTTGGCTTTTTTCATGATAAAACACAAAACTCCAATAACCAATAAAATTTGGAATTATAATATAGTGGCCTATCTTTTATCTTGCATTCGATTTCAAGGCTTCACAATTAATATCCCTGAGGCCTTACTAAGTTCCTCAAACAAAACTAAAACTAAACATTTCTGATCTCACAAAATAAGCAAATAAATAAATACTTTCATTAATCAAAAATCTTTCTTCAAGCACCAAAGGAAGCCAAAAAGTGGTTCGTTCCCGTGAGGAGGAATTCTAGTAACATGGCCCTTTCCATCTAAGAACAGTTTTGGATCAGCTCATTTTTTGCTCCAAGGAAGAAGTCTTTCCTTCCAAGGAATGGAGAGTTTCTGATTTTCATACTGTTACTTAGAAGCCTTCTCATGGGGCCCTGATGTGAATGTACTTTTTATTGGACATTTCAATTTGATATTTGCCAAAAAGACTGTTATATCAATTCTGAGCAACTGTCTCCCAGATACCTAAATGCAAAGCCTATAGGAGAAGTCTAATACGAATGCTGAATCTTTTGTATGACATGTACTGCTACATGTAAAAGATGATTGATTGTTCTGGAATAAACACAGTAAAGTCATCCCTTAAGCCTGCTCTCATTTGCATTTTTTAATAGGTCTGGAACTGCTGGATGCTCACTATGTCTCCTCACACTACTTGCCTTCCCCTTGTTATCTGATGGTTATTATCCATTTCTTTCCCATATACTATACATTGCATGCATCATTCTGCCTAAATAGAGTATGGTCAAAGGAGGAAACTGCATAAACTAGCATGGCTGCGATTTACTGCCTAGGAAAGCCAAATTACCTGAAAAATGATTACTGTATTGGCAAAAGCAGGTTAAACGAAGAATAAAACCACTTTTTCATTACGGATTCTTATCGGTTGCTATTTCATACATCAAACAAACTCCTTGTAATTGCTAACTAGCAAACTGCAGCTCCAGTCGAAAACCATCAAGAAAAATGCATTCGTTTTTTGTATTCTTTTTTTTTTCCCCAGATCAAACACAAAATGATGCTTAAATATAAGTTAGTGCATTAGTTATATTAAGGAGTTTGTTTTCAGGAAAATAACTGCCTAACTGGAACACGGCTAAGCCATTAAGACTAACAAACAGAACAAATGTGCTTTGAAAAACAGTCTATATAAATAAGGAATGTTTCACCTGAGTTAGTGTGGTGTTTGTTCCACAGTCAGTAGACATCTGGAGTACTCGTCCCTGTATTCGATTTTCATTTACAAGGTCATTTACTATTTTACATACTAAAATAATTAAATATTATTCCACTTTGTGAAGAACATGAATATTTGAAGAACAAATATTTTTAGATAACATCATAGTCAACTAAAACTGCCAGGAGATTCCTGAGAAGTTAAATTGGTTAAAGGTTAAAAGATCACACTGGGCATTTCAGACTTTTACCTTCACACACATTAAATGTCAGTATCTCGGAAGAAACACAGGTGACATGCAGGCAAAGTTAAATAAAATTAAACCTGTATTAAATTCAACTCTGTAAATTGGGCAAATCAAGTGATTTAGAAAAACATCAAACTTTCTGGGGTTTCTGGCAAAGCAATTCACATGGGAGCAGGCAGAAGCTAATGGTTAAAACAAGGACTTATCTTTCAAACATGTGCATGTTTCATTTTACTCACACGCATGTCGTTTTCAGTTCACTGCTGATCTGAAACTTAGGCTCCTACCTATGTGTCTGCAGGACTGGCAACTATGGTCTCTGGGACTGATTTGTGTCACTAGGGGAATCAGTCATGCTCAGTGTATGTCTTTTTCCTCTCTAATAAAGCTACAAATGCTATTAAGCTTTAGTAGATGCTCTGAGAGCTTACAAAAGAAATCAGCATTGCAAAAGTCTGCAGGCACTGGCTCAGCTCACTGTCCAATGCACAGCGAACTTCCCCTGTCTTGAGGCTGTACGGAAGTGTCACACCTCTGCAAACATATCCTTCACTGATGTCTCATTCTGGGCAAAAAAATAAGGAAACTACCAGATGAGAAAGGCAAGACAGAGACTATTACCTAAGTACAATTCCTGTACTACCATGCAGAAGAAAGCAAGAAAATATTTCAAGTATTTACACAGCACAGGAAGAGACACAGGGGTGTTTTTTCAGGTTGGTTTTTGGAAGTACTTTCTGCATCTCAGAAAGGAGAAATCAGCATTCCTGGCTTGCTACTTGCAGCCCTGGGACTCCTGTGTGATCCGGCTGAATTAAGGATTTGGCAGCCACCAACTTTCCACACTAATTATGGACAGTTCACTCTCTGGCTGGAGATTCTGGTATTACTTAAGGTTTGTCAGTACTTCCTTATTCTTAGGTTAGGGGTTCTGTAAGCACTAGCAAGCACATATTAGTAATATTAGTAATACATTTGTAATCGTATATTTATTACAACTGCAACAGATCGCTATCCTCCCTTCCAAAGGAAGAATACACCACGTGAGAGTTACATTATGCTTTGATGTAATGTTTAATTTGTGACGTGTGACTGACAGAGAAAGAGCCTAACGACAATGTCACCTTACTACAGAAACTGTACCAGGGATATTAAATATTATACAGATGGCACCAGCTCTTTCTTTATCCTCACATATTTTCTTAATTTCTTTCAGGCTCGAATACAGAGGGGTTACTTGAAATACCATGTAGATAGAGTATAATATGGTCAGGACTGTTACAATACATTCATATTTCATTGACACTACCTCTAATCGCAGCTAAGCACTTGCATTCCAGAAGAGGTAGAGCCAGACAGTGTCTCTGACACACACAGATTCTTCTCTGTCTTTCCTTTCAGTACATTTTATCTAGCCTAAGGAAGTCGACTGCTTATCTACATAATGCATTTTCATCTTCTGCTACTGTAAGACTAGGCTCTTAGCACGACTACAAATGAATACATGTGATTTTTTTATTGGGTACTAATTTGAATCTGGTCACTGACTATCAAAACTCTTTTCTTTTGAGTCGCTAAATTCATTTAAGCTGATCTGGTG